TGTAGGTATGCACACATGTACCTACGTAGAGTATGTAGAAATGTACGCATACAGGTAGGCGTGCATACATGCATGCACGTGTAAGTAAACACAACAGTACGTATGTATCCATGACATACACTGCATGGATAAGCACACAGGGACAGTAATGTGTTACGAATTGCATGGGAGGGGCAGCTAAAGAGTAGATCTCGCAAACCCCCAGGCCAATTGGAGCTGATCCCCAAGCGGGACTCAAGCCCCCCCCAAGCCCGACAACACCTAAACACCTAAACCCCTAAACCTCAAAACCCCCAAACCCTTAGACCCCCCAACCTTGAAACCCTGGATCCCTGATTGGACCGAAAACAAACGGCAGCGGCGCGGCAACCAACAGTATGAGAAGTACTTTCTTTTATGCCCCAAGCAAACCTTCCCGTAGGCTCTATGCCCAAAACCGTTTAGCCCCAAACCCTAAATCCTACGAAAATAGGGGACCCTAATATGGCTCCCTAAATAGTATGAGGACCCCAAAATAAGGTACCAGTAAGAAGGCTGTGCGTGAACTCCGCCCGCCTTCATCTTAGGGTTCGATGCTCCCGGAGGGTTCGGGGGCTGGAGGCAGCCCGGCTGGCCAAAGGCAGCAAGCACATACCTAAGGCGAGGCTTGGGCTGTAGAGCTTAAGGGCTGAAGGCGCTTGAAAGTATGGATCTTGCAGCTAAGGTTTGAGGCTTTAGAGTTTTTAGGGCTCCAGTGGCTCCGGGTTGAGACCTAACAGATGAATCAAATGTAGGGGGGTGCGGGGTCTACAGTCTAAATGCGTGCTTTGCCTTGTTCTAGCAGACCTGAAACCCTAAACCCTGAACCCTAAACCCGGAAATCCCCGAAACGAACCCTGAACCCTAAATCCTCGAAACCCGAAGCCCTAAGCCGAAACTCCCACACCTGCGATTTCCGGGGCTTCGAGCCCCGGCTTCGTTTATCGGAGCTTCGGCGTTTTGTGGGATTCGGTCTCGCGCTGAAGTTGAAGGTTCAGGGCTTTCGGGTTCTGGGATTTAGGGTTTAGGGAAGGTTTAGGGTTTTCGGTTCGGGGGTTAAGGGTTCAGCGACGGTCTAGGGTTTGAGGCTTGGGGTGGAGAGGTTTGGTTTTTGCTGGAGTCGGGCTTCAAGACTTCGGGGTTGAGGAACCTACAGGGCCGACAACGGTGCACGGAGAATCCGGAGCAGGTTCGGGCTGTTGCGCACTGTACGTACGGCGAACACACAAGGGGGAGTCAGTCGAACTACGCCTGACTAGCTACGTTATAATGTACTCGCTCATCTTATTGCAAGTATAGATAGGACCCCCTTAACCCTAAACCCTTCAACCCTAAACCCTAACTCGCCCCAAACCCCAAGACTCTATAGGGTGAGGTGCGTCATCTCGCAGAGGTCGTCGTGGATGGCGCCGCTGGTGAAGATGGCGATTTTCCTGAAGGTGCAGGGTTTGGGGTTCCTTTACAGGGATCTATAAGGGGCCCCTTAAAGGGATCTATATGGGCTCCTTCTTGAGAGTTCAGGGTTTAGGGTTTGAGGTGTTGGGTTCTGAGAGGTCCAAATTCTTCAGCCGATGCTGCAGGCAAACGTGGGCAAGAGAGAATTTAATCTTCAAGCAATCTCTCTACCCTACACCCTAAACCCTAAATCCTAAACCCAAACGCCCAGTGAGCCTAATTAGTCTGGAAAAGACCAGAACGCCAAGCAGAAACCAGAACACCGCGCGAGCCACTCGGGGATTCTCCGAGGTTAAAGAAGCTTTACGTAAAGATCCACAGAACGCCGAGAAAGACTCAAGAAAAAAACATCAAAATCCTGAACCCCCCACCCCAAATCCTACAGCTTAAACCCTAAACCCTATAAACGAAAGACCGAAGCCCAATTCACACGCCTGAAGACTCTGCACCTCAGCCGAGGGGCTTGACCTTCCTCCGTAAAAGAGGAATGTGCCCAATGTCCTAAGCCGTTGCGGCCGGGTTCGAAGGGTTTCGGGTCTCGGGCTTGTCCTAAGTTCCGGAACAGAAACATGGACAGGAAGCACGTGCGACGCATTCCTGGTTAATTATGGCAACTTAAGGCAGGGCTTTGTTTCCTTGGTTGTCCAGTACCCTACGGAAACTAAAGCTTGACCTTTGGGATTACACTGGGGATTACAGTAGCCCAAAAGGGTTAAAGGTTACCTGCCCTCCACACCCTAAACCCTATACTACCCTCCACGACCAAGTTTCCTTGGCACGCGCCAAGTAACGCGTGTCGGGGCTGACGAGATGCTGGGTTTTGGGATGTGGGGTGCAAGCCGAGGCAAAGTTTATGGTTTAGGGTTTATGGGTTTAGGGTTTAGGGTTTGGGGTTTAGGGTTTAGGGGTTTAGGGTTTAGGGGTTTAGATGAAGAGCTGCAAGCATAAAGCCCAACAACCAAAGACTTAATTAAACCGCAAACCTGAAACACTCCGGGCAGGGTGAAGTACCGAAAAAACCTTCTAAGGAATCCACAAACATATTCGCAAGCCATCAAAAAATCCAACAAGCACGAAAAATAGTTCGATAGTACCACTTTCTTCAGCCTTGCCTACATTATTTCGTTCTATTCTTCTGTGTTAAGTTGCTGTCCTTCTTTCTGTGGTTCTTTTTGTCGTTCTTTTTGGATTATTTTTGTTCTTTAGTCCTGTCTTTCTTGATTTATTTGTTTCTTTCGTTCTCTCTGTCTCTCTCTGTGCTGAATTGCTATGTTTTTGTCTCTTTGTTTCTTTCTCTGGTTCTGTCTGTCCTCCCCCGCCCCTCCGCCCGCCCGCTCTTGTGCTAGATTCGTGCTCTCCTCGCATCCGTCTTACACAAATTCTTCGACTGATGCGAAAGCTTTCTTTGATGGCTGGAAAGTCTTTTTTGATTGCCGAGGAAGTTGTTTTGACCCCTAAACCCTATAAACCCTAAACCCCTATCCCGATTCGTGATTCTAACCAATCTGAGGTTCATCGTAGACGCCGGCGTCTCCAACTGCTTCCTCATGAGCCCTGAGTTCCCAGAGACTCACTCTCCCGTACTTAACTCAGATCATATTCGGGGTCCTACTATAAGTTAAAGGAACATTCCTTAACTAAGGGATATTGGAGCCCTGAGTTGCTCGTGCTTGCGGTTCTGGGTGAGCTTAGGAGCCATGAGGGCGTTAGTAACTAGAACGGGGATGTACTATAGCATGTTTATAATAAGGAACTTAACATAGTATTACATGACAATCATAGCTCGCCCGGTCATTCAGGCTTCTCTCGAGGGCTGACTTTGTCGATCCGGCTGGTGTTCCCTATACTGAACTTAGAACCCTAGCAAAAATTACAAGTTTAGCTGTTTCTTAGGGTTTGTAATAACCAACCCTAAACCCTAAACCCTAAACCTTAAACCCTAAACCTTAAACCCTAAACCCTAAACCCTAAAGCTTCTAAGTAGCCCTCAGTTTCATAGAAATCCCCGAAGCAGCACCCTTCAAGCGCGGAGGCCTTTCGAGCTCCGGACCCCGAGCAGCATGTTCCCTACAAGCACATGTATAGAATAAACTAGGATACCCGGTAACCTAGGAATAAAAAGGCCTCTCTTTTTGGTATTGGGTAGCTTTATAAGGAACCTAGGACTAGAAAAAGGGAATAGGGGTACTACTGGGCATCCTAGACATGTATAGAATAAATTAGAAGCTGCCCCCACCCTGTAATAGTGGTACAATAGGAATATAGTAGGGCCCTAATATAATCCTTATAGTCACTATTACAGGGTGGGGGCAGCTTCTAAAGTATAAACCCCTAAACCCTTAAAGGCATCCCGAAACACTCCATAAAACCATAAAGCCCCAGAGGTCCCCTGTAGAATCCCTGCAGGAAGCCTGAAATCCTGCCTTACTGTCGCAAGGTCCCGGTGAAAGCCCATGGGCCCTAAAAACCCTCAATCCTGACCATGGGCCCTAAGTCCTAAACCCTAAACCCAAAACCCCTAAACCTTCAACCCTAAACCCCAAAACCCCAACAAACCCTAAAACCCTACAGTAAACCCCAAGACCCCAAATCCTAAACCCCCAAACGTCGGCCCGGGAGCAAAGGCACACCTTCGGAGTCCAGCGCCTTGCCCCAGGGCGCAGGATTACGGAGTTCAAGGGTTTAGGGGTTTAGGGGTTTAGGGGTTTAAGGGGTTTAGGGGTTTAGGGGTTTAGGGGTTTAAGGGTCTAGGGGTTTAGGGTTTAGGGGTTTAGGGCCTTTGGGCTTGGGTTGAGTTTGGCGCCTGAGGCTGAGATTGGGTTTGGGGCTTGGCATGGTTTTCTATGCATGTGTCTGCTGTACTCTGTCTGATAGGGAACTCCAGAAAGTTGGAATATGGTTTCATGGTAGGATACCCTATATTTTACCATAGAAGGGTTAGGATAATCATATTCCAACTTTCTGGCTTTTACCTTATGCTGTGTTAGTTGTTCAGCCGGAAACCTGAAAAAGTAGGTTCCCACAGCATCCTCCTCCCAAGTGATTTGACAAATGCTTGATCAGAGCTTTGAATTTTTTTATAAAGCACTGATGGAGACATGTACAACTTGAGTATAGGGTGTTTAGTGTATAGAGTTCAGGGTTTTGGGAGTCCGGGGTTAGGATATACGAGTTCATGGCTTAGTGTTGAGGCACTTGAGGGTGTTTGATTTAAACATACGGCCCAGAGACTTGAACTTAAGGTTTGGGGATCCACAGCTTTGGGACTTGGGTGGTTGTTAATATTAGGGTCCCTTTGGGGGTCCCTATTATAATACGGCACCTATTATTTAAGGTACCCAAAATGGGACCCTAATTTTGACAACCACCCAGTTGGGGTGTGAAGCATAGAGGTTTAGGGTTTTGGGTCTTAGGCAGGTCTGACGAAACATCCGGTTAGCTCAACCACAAACCCGACAATCTTCAACCCCACATCCCAAAACGGCTCAGGGTGAATTGATGAGGACCCCCAAACGGATGCAAGAGATTCAAAGGGAAAGAACACAGAACAAATCGAAACTACACCCCTGCATCGAAGGGGCCAGCGGCGACCAGAAGTTGGCATGGGGCAGCAACTTCTCGCCCTCTGCAACCAAGCACTTTGGGATCCTTGCGCAGGTTTAGGGCTTTCTTTTCAAATTTTCTGAAAGGGTGCTATAGAGTTTTACCTGAAGGGTCATGGGTGGGCGTGAAAGGCTTTTGCTTTAGGGCCCTTGGGATGAAGGGCTTGGGCTTTGCACGGCGGTTTCAGGGTTTGGGTTCAGGGCTTTCTGGCTTCTGGAAATTTGGGCTTGGGCGTTCGGAGTTTGGGGGTGTTGGTTCGAGGTTGCGCAGGCTGAGAGCCTAGGGTGCAGGGCATGAGGCAGAAAGCCTCCTGGAAATTACGGTGCCGTCCATACCTTTGCCTTCTGGATGTGGGCATGTAAGGTTTTGGATTGGTAGATTGCTGTGCTGAGGGTTCCAGCATGCCAAGAAACCGCGGCAAAAAAAATGCAGAACATTGTGCAAAAAAAGCCGCAAGGGAGCAGCCCTAAATCCAGAACATCCAAACGCCCAAACCCCAAGCAACCAAGCAAGGAAACCTGCAGGTGCTGGGCCGCTAAAGCCTGAGGCCCGAAGGCGAAGAAGCTATAGGCCGAAGGCCCTACTTGGAGGGTCGGGGGACTTTAGGGTTTAGGGTTTAGGGTTTAGGGTTTATGGTTTAGGGTTTATGGTTTAGTAAGTAGGTCGTAAGTAGACTTATAAGTACCCTAAGAGGGACCCTATTTGGGGTTATGATACTAATAAGTCCCTAAAATAACCAGTTGCTAAGTCCCCCGACCCTCCAAGTACAGCCCTAAAACCCAAACCCTAGAGCTTAGAAGGGGCCCCCCACCCTGTAATAGTGGTATAATAGGAATATAACAGGGCCCGAATATAATCCTTATAGTCACTATTACAGGGTGGGGGCAGCTTCTAACCTAGAGCGCTACAGCCGAAAGCCCCACAGTCCGAAAAAGCCCCGAAGCCGAAGCCCTCAACCCCGAAACCTTGGGCCTTTATTCGGGTCCCTTATATTATATGGATGGTTGTCAAAATCATGGTCCCTTTTTGGGTCCTTATTGTATTACGGCACCTAACATCTAGGGTACCCAGAAACGGGCCTTAATTTTGACAACTACCCATATGAATCCTACTATTTTTCAGGTTGTAGGCCCAGGGTTTCTTAAATCCCTGAAGCCCCAACACTTAAACTCTACAATCCCTTATGGTTCGTGCGAAGGGCTTGTCGGCCCATGTGCGGATCTGGAAGTCCGCGATGTAGGATGTTGCGGTGCCGGCCCAGGTAGCCAGATCCCCAACATTGAGAAAGCTACGAGAAACTTCCATCCTTGGCGGTATCCGAAGGCTTCAACATCACTTCATCATCCCTCAAGCATCCAATATTACGATTCAAAAGAGCCGGAAGAATATTCGCTAATCTGGGAGTGCGGAGTTTCTGTGTGAAAGGTTTGGGGTTTAGGGCAATCCTGAAGCAACAGACAGTGAAGGCACCTGAGCTCGATTTCCATGATATTAAAATTGTAATACGGAACCCCGAAATGATATAGGAATTATTTGGGAGTTTCCGAAAATTAGGGGTACCTTATTTTGGGGTCCTTCTAAAAAGGATCCGAATACTTAGGGCACTATATTAGGGTCCCCCTATTTTCGGAAACTCCTGTTTAGGGCCCCTATAGTAAGACGCGGTGAAGGCACCTGATCTCGTTCCCGTTGCTGACGTTCGTCCACGGACTCCGGGCCGATGCTCCCCAGGCGAAGGGCTCCACAAGCACGTCACCGATGCTGCGGTGGACGTCGCTTGCCTTAGTTGCTGAGTTCATAAGCCCCCCAGAATGCAGACTTTCCAGGACCCTCCTTGCACCCTCATGGTCCCAAATAAGGGGCATTTAGGGTCTAATAGAGGGTAGATGGAGGGTCTAGGTTTAGTTTTATAGTGTGTAAAATTATCCCAAAAAGTGCAAAGTGTATCCACTCAGCTACTAAGTTGCATTGTAGCCCGGGATGGTCCCGGCATAGAGGGGCGTCTGCTCCAGGGGAAAGAACACCAGAGGATCTTTGGGAGTCAAGCCCGTGTAGGGCTCGAGGATGGCTGACTGAGACAGCAGGAAGGGCAGCTTCCTAGACCTGGGCTTTGAAGTAACCAGGGAGAAAAAAGTCTAGACTTTTATTTCATAGTGGTTCCCTTTCAGTAGCAGGTCCCGAAAAAAGTATTAAGGTATGCTACTCCAAAGCCCATAGACACATCCTTCGAGGTGTAGATGGTCTTCCCACTGCCGAATTTCGCTCTTACGCGCTCCAGCTGCGACTCGTGGCAGTGAGTTGAGCCCCATCCGGCAAGCTCGAATGGATGCAGGAAGGCATAAGCGGTCAGAATGGAGTAGAGGCCATGAAAGGATCCTGGCTGGAAGCGCTCCACCATGCAGGCGCACCAGCCCTCGTCGGCTGGACAGCCAAACATGCTCTCCAGGCCAGTCTCGTTCTCCTCCAAAAGCTCAGTCTGCAGCAGGTGCTGCTCTGCACCCGGTCCTTTGTGGCCCTTGGGGTAGTTTCGGAAGTGCCTCAAACGCCGGAGCCCACTGCCGGTCTTCTCTATGAGTGCCTCTGGGGTCATGTCCTCCGGTCGCAGTGTCTGTCCCAAGTACTCCTCCACCGTGTCAATCGCCTGGTAGTACAAGGGGAGGCCGAGCCAAACGGAGCCCGATGTCACACTCAGGTACCTTGGTGCGCTCTTTCAAGCGTTCGAAAATATCAGAAAATAAGATCCTCTGAAGCCCAAAAAAAAAAACATGTAAAATTCTCCCAGAGGCCGACCCAGGTACCTTGCCTTCTCCAGCAGCTTGGCTTCCCGAAGCGTCCGGAGAACGCCGTGGCCCAGCGCCCCGCCCCGCATGCCGCCGCCCGCAAGAGCGATGCCGAAGTCCAGCTTACTCTCAAGGTTCCTGGGTTCTACAAACGGTTTAGGGTTGAGGGTTTAGGGTTTAGGCTCCCGGAAGTATCTGTGAAAAGGTACCTCCATAGAACCATAATAAGGGAACTTTAAAAATTGTGCCCCGAAGCTCAAAACCCAGGTTCAGGCTTCCCTCGAAGCTCTCCGGCAGCTTGAAGTCCGGGCGCGACGGCTGCCACACGCGCGCGCTCAGCTTTTCTGAGCCCGTGCCCAGGCAGAGGGCCGCAAGGAGGCATAGCCCGGGGAGCCCGGACATGGCAGGCATGGCGTCGATCCAAGCTGAGGGCCCTGTGAAAGAGGCCCAGAGAAGCCAGGGGCGTCTCGAATTTCTTTGAAAGAATGCCTTGCTAGTATGATCATGACACTTGCATACAGGTTATGCACCTCTTGAGTATCCTACTCACTCAGGCCTTGCGTTCCGGAACCCTAAACGGCCTGAGCCCTGCAACTCTAAGCTCCCGAACTTTAAAGCCTTCAGCCCTCGTTTGCCGCATTTCAGCAACAACTTCAGCTCAAGCCCAAGCACCTGTCGGACCCAGATCTCAGAACGGCAAGCTGGGCTTTGGGCTCTTTCTATGGGGTCTCGATGATTAGAACAAGGTTGGGTTATATACCTCTAGTAACGACAAGGGCCTATGATTAAGGGTTATTCCAGGGTTTATTCCCGGGAAATGAAAAATTAACTAGACTTGGGGGTTGGGTTGATATTCTAGTATACATAAGGAACTCTGAAGAATCGTATTGCTGCTTTAAAGTTGTTATTCAAGTAACGCTTCTGTTTAAGAACCTTGGGTCTTGGTACGTAAAGCTTCCGGGTTCCAGGTTTGTAGGCTGCGGGAAATTGGGGGTTTAGGGCTTGGGGCTGCTGATCACCGATAGTCTCGCAATCGGCACATGCGTCATTAAGAGTCGAGATAGACAAATGGGTGGTGGTCAAAATTAGGGTACCTTTTTGGTTACCCTAAATACTAGGTGCCGTACTATATTATTAGGGACCCCAAAAGGGACCATAGTTTTGACAACCACCCAAATCAGAAAAGGACAGTGAACCTGGTCAAGCTTCAGGCCTCATTGGAGAACTGAGTCCCCTTATCCCTGCACAAGAGTGACAAACCTTGCTATTTCTGCTATCTCCTGGGGCTTGATGAGCTTTGTAAAAAAAAAAAAAACCTATAGGATATGGTACCCTAGTGAACCGTCGGTTTAGGGGTTGATTTCAAGGCTTTGTACTGAGGCTTCTGCATGCACACCCGGAAAGCCGACCCTGTGCACCGGGAACCAGGAGCCGAGTTTAGGGTTTACTAGTTCATGGTTCGGATAGGATTAAAAGTCTAAAAGTTCTATTCCTTATTGGGCTTAAGTACCCATCGAAATGTAAAATGTTATCCGGCTATGACAAAGTTTAGGCCTCTAACCAATTGGTCATTACGAGGGTGGAAAAGCCCTGGAGGCCTGTCTAACGCAGACAAAGTTGCTGCAGCCGCCGTTTCAATCCATCCTTCCTACACTGCCCTGAAAGAGCATCCTCTACATTCTATGCCTTAGTTCCGACGATTTTAATCCCAACCCACTTCCGTTCTATAGCACCAGCCTTGGCCGGGGAATCACCATCGGAAGAGTCTCTGCGCGTGCTCCGTGTAGGTAGGGCGAAGGGAGCGGGTTCATGGTGTCGAATCGTGAGAGTTCGAAAGGGTTTAAGGGGCTTAGGGTCTCGGGTTTAGGGTTTAGGGGTTGGTGTTTAGCGTTCAGTAGGAGTTTCCGAAAATGGAGATTAGGATTGTCTGGCTTCGGCCTACGTTCTTTAAAGGGTTTCGGGCTTGTGGGTTTGAGAGATTTAGACTTTGAAGACTTCCGGATGTGTCCGGGGAATCAAGAGCCAATCGTCCATCTTCGGCACCGGGTACCCAGAGACTCCAATATCCCGTAATTAAAGAATATACCTTAAATTATACAGTAGGATCCCTAATACGATTTACGGTATATTCCCTAATTAAGGGATATTGGAGTCTCTACGTAGACTTTAGGATTTAACCTTAATCCTAAACTGACCTGGTAGGCTTTCTAGACCTAAGAATAACCCAAGAATAAAAAGGGTGCCCCTTTTTGGTTTCAAGGGTGTTATAAGGGAACCTGAACCCTGGAAAAAGGGAATAGGGGCCTGATCTGAGTCCCAGCTTTACTCATAGGCCCCGTAGTAGTTCCTTTTTGGGAGTACCTTATAAACTCTAAATATGAAGCCCAAAAAGGAACTACTTTGGGGCCTACTTGGAGGGTCGGGGGACTTTGTAAGTAGACTTATAAGTACCCTAAAAGGGACCCTCATTGGGGTTATGGTACTTATAAGTCCCCAAAATAACCAGTTACTAAGTCCCCCGACCCTCCAAGTACTGCCTTCTGTAGGGGTTTTGAAGGCCCTGGAAGGCCCTCTAAAGGTGCCTGGATCTTGTACCCTCTTCGGGTTCCCTTACGAGGTTGGCCCTTTAAAGCCTACTTTGGGGCCTATGGGTAGGACTGGAGAGTTTCGGATTTGCGGAGAAAGCTGAAGAGCCGAAACGGCCGAGGCGGGGGCTTGAACTGAGTACGGCCCCGCAAACCCAAAGCATAAACCCTAACCATAAGCTTTAAAGCCGGTTTAGGGTTTAGGGTTAAAGCCTAAACCCTAAACCCCAACCAAAAGCCTTGAAGCCTAAGCCAGAAAGCCTTAAGCCGACACCCTAAACCCGAACCATGAGTCCTGAAGCCTGAACTCCTAAACCATAAAACCCCTAACCATAACGGCCTTGTCCTTTTTAGGGAAATAGACAGGGCCCTTTACCCTAGTCCCTTAATAAGAAGCCCTTAAGAAGGTACCTTAACCGATCTGTCTATTCTTTATTAGGGGACCATAACAGTGAACCATAAACCTTGAAGCCTGAAACCTGAACTCCGAATCGTGGAGGTGTCCGATGCACCCGTCGGAACCCCTGTCCCCAAGTCAGCCCTAAACGGGAGTTTCCGAAAATAGGGGACCCTCCTATTAGGATCCTTAATTATAAGGACCCCCAAAATAAGGTACCTCGAATTTTCGGAAACTCCCCAAACCCTGAATGCAGGTCCTCATACGGTTGATGATACAAATCATGCGTTACCCACAATAAGGAATATACCAAAACTCCCATAGATTCCTTATTGTTATGGGCAATGCAGGATTCATATCATCAACCATGTCTCCGCAGATCTTCGAACTTCATGCGCACCGCTAGAAAAGCCCCTACGAAGCTAGGTCTTCTCTGCATTAGCGTTTAGGGTTTTAGGGTGGTTTAGGGTTGTGGGGTTTCGGGCTTAGGGTTTAAAAGTTTGGGGCTTAGGGGTCGAAGTCGAGGGTTTGGGGATTACTTTAGGGTTTAGGGGTTTAGGGCTTAGGGTTTAGGCTTGAAAGCTGGGTTTTAGAGTTTCGTAGCTATGTTAGGTATCGTACATCGGCTGCTAGGGGTTTGGATACAGGGCTTTAATTACGTATGGTTTCTATACAATACAAACGAAAGCCGCTGATATGACAGCCACGAAGCTAGCAACGGTACATTGGCGCTGACAACAAGAATCGCAATAACAAGGCTAACAACACCGAAATCGCAGACCAAACAAAAGAAGGAAGTGGCTTAGACCCTCAACCCTAAGAGATGCAAGCAAACGTGAGGCTTCTCCCTAAACCAAAAAACACGCGAGGCCTTTCTTTCCACCCTGGTCTGTACAGCCAGAAAGCGAAATGTACGTCGAGGCGGAGGGGTTTAAACCTCCCGCCGGCTCAACGCGGTTTCACCTCCTTAAGGGCCCCGAAAAGGACTTAGTAGGGTATGGGTTTAGGCTCTAGGGTTGAGGGTTAGGTCCCAGTATAGGCCAAAATTTACATGCCGAAAACAGAAGTACTCTTTCAGCATGGCTCCAACTAGAACATCCACACTAAGATCCCGGGGGCCGTTAAGTGGATCGCGGGTTCATCCACATAACAGCAGACGCTTGGCGCTTGGGATAATGCACGGAGCTGCTTGCCGGGTCCCAAGCGAGCGCACTTTGTGCTGAGAGTGCATTCGGAAGTTTTCATACTTGCAGAAACAAAGTAACATTGTACTCGGATCTGCAGGGAAGCGACATCGGTCTCTCAGACACTTGCCAAGAGCTCCTGAACCTAAACGTAACTATTCGGATTCAGCTCCCCAAAACTTGTGCACCATCCCAGAACTTGCAGTTCGGCTCAATCCGACATCTAGCGCTATGTAGCAGATGTGATAGCTTGCCACGTCATGCAATCTATAAACCCTAAACCCCCAAACCCTCTGGAATAAGCATCTGGGAGCGGGCAAGGTCTGCGAGATGGCAGCAACGCTTTGCCGGTCGCAGGGTCGGTGGTGCTAGGCTAGAATCATAACATTGGTAGAGGAACGTCAGAAACAGAAGCATGCGCTTTGCGCAAGGCTGCAGTTTCAGCAGTGGGCATGATCATGCCTTCCAGACTGTTGCAGTATTGGACAGATGTGGATGGGCCTTAACTATGAACCCAAACCCTGAGCCCTATAATTAGAATAGGGTTTCGGGGCTCATTATACTATAGTTAAGATAAGGCACCCCCAAACGGTATTGGTACTTATTTACTCCCCTAAATTAAAAACCCTTTGCTGGCCTCAGCCTGGTTGGCCAAGGCGGGGCAATGCTAGTGAGACCGGTCTTGTTTTGTGTTCGCATGATGTCAGGAGCAGTATTTTCAAGCTTCCTTAGTCATCAACACCACAGGATGCAAACCCGACGCCCTCCGCTGACGCAAGAAGATATGGCAGTCAAGCGTCCTCCTCGTCCAGCAATACCATCACCAAGGGCTGCTGCTCCTTATCGAGTTCAGCGTTGCAGGTTGCGGGTTGACTCTGAAAGTTAAACCATGATATAGGGGCCTTAATAATTAGAATAGGGTTTTGGGGCCTATTATAGTGAAAGACACCCAAGCCTACTCAAACCTCGTAGAGCCCGCTATGAAGCCCCTGGAACACACAAAAAAAAAAACAACAACTACAATAAACACACAGGTAGCAATCCAAGAGCACTCAACAAATCCTAGCAACCCAAGGAAGCACCCAACACCCCCTACGCGTAGGCCGACAAGGATCCAACTCGGCGGGCTGGGCGACCTCAGGCCGCCTCGCCATGTCCAGGGACCTGCTGCGACGGTTTGGCGTCTGCTGTATTTGGGTGGTTGTCAAAATCAGGGTCCCTTATTATAATAAGGCACCTATTTTGACAACCACCCATTTGGCGCATGGGAGGTGCTTTTAAAGCCTCTGAAAAATACTAGTAGGTAAGATCCTCTTAAGCCCAACAAGAGCAAATATAGAATGTCCCGAAGCCTTACCTAGGTTGGGTGCGGGAGTGGGGGGAGGGGGAGTTGCGGGGTGGGTGTGGGCTGTAGGGTTTTGGGTTTAGTATATTTCTGGGCTGGTAGAAGCTGCTGGGGACAGGGCAGGGGTTGAGCCTAGCGCAGTCACTATCAAACCCCTATAAATCTCGTGAAACCCCACTACACTAGAGCTAAACCCTAAACCCTAAACCCCTAAACCCTAAACCCTAAAACCCCTAAACCCTAAACCCTAAACCCCTAAACCCTAAACCCTAAAACCCCTAAACCCCTAAACCCTAAACCCCTCAACGCTCGGGTTTAGTTAGGACTACACTTTAAGGGGGCTTAGGGTCCCTTTAAAGGGGCTCAGGATCCATTTCAAGGCTCCTCCACCGCTACTGCCTTCTGTAGGGGTTTAGGGGTTTAGGGTTTAGGGTTTAGGGGTTTAGGGTTTAGAGGTTTAGGGTTTAGGGTTTAGGGTTTAGGGTTTAGGGTTTAGGGTTTAGGGGTTTAGGGGTTTAGGGGTTTAGGGTTTAGGGTTTAGGGTTTAGGGGTTTAGGGTTTAGGGGTTTAGGGCTTAGGGGTTTAGGGTTTAGGGGTTTAGGGTTTAGGGGTTTGAAGGCCCTGAAAGGCCCTCTAAAGGTGCCTGGATCTTGTACCCTGTTCGGGTTCCCTCACTAGGTTGGCCCTTTATAGCCTCTGAAAAATATTCCTGAATCGGGCCATATTAAGCCCAATAAGGGAAAATATAAAACATCCCAAGGGCCTACCTAGCTTAACCCTGAACGCCTGAACCGGAGAACGAGAGAAACTGAAGAGCTGCAAAGGCACGGGCACCAGCTGCCCAAACGCTCGGAGCTCCTGCTGGGCTTTGAAGCATAACCAGGGAGAAGAAAGTATAGACTTTTACTTCATAATGGTTCCGTTTCAGTGCAGGTCCCGAAAAAAGTACTAAAGTATGCTACTCCAAAGCCCAGCCTGCTGTCGCCGCTGCACGGCTCCCAGGGGTTCTTGTTTTTTCGGCTCTAAGATGCGAGAAACGGCTCAAAGGTTCGGAACACTTGGCTTCTCAATAGCCTTCTCAGACTTAACCACAAGGGTCCGAAGGACCCCATAACTAGGTATTTAGGTTTCGGATAGTCGTTACGTAGGTTACTATTTGGGAGAGTATATGAATATTAGGTACTTGGACCCTTAGGGTAAGGCTTGCAGGGTTCGGGCTCGGGTTCTAGTCACTTCCGCGCAGGGCGCTAGTATGTGCAGCTTGGGCTTCGGCGTAGGGTCTTGAAGCTGGTGTGTCCCCTGTTCTATACCCCCTTATAAATCATATGTTTAATATTCTCTGGGGCTTTATTATATGAAAAGATAAAACAAAATAATTCCTGAGGAGACTATAGTGTTCATGCAAGCGAAGGAAGGCCATCCCAGAAAGCCCACTTGCCGTCTTAGGCGGCAGCAGCAGCAGCACCACCGGTACCACTGCAGCTGATAATGAGAATGAAAATCGCTTCTGCTCTTCCCTCCTCCTACTTACTGCCACCACTACTTCGACGACTACAACTACGAAAGGTCCAAACATACTACGAACAGTGGGAACAACGCATAATAATCATGATAACTGAATCATATTCGTAGCCCTTAAGCCCTAAACCTTAGGCCCTAAACCCCAAACCCTAAGCCCTAAACCCCAAACCCTAAGCCCGAAGCCCTAAACCCTCAACCCCAAACCCTAAGCCCTAAACCCTTAGCCCTAAACCCCAAACCCTAAGCCCTAGACCACTCGGCCCTAAACCCCAAACCCTAAACCCTAGGCCCCAAACCCCAAAACCTAAGCCCCTAAGCCCTAAACCCCAAACCTTAAGCCCGAAGCCCTAAGCCCCAAACCCTAAGCTCGAAGCCCGAAACCCTAAACCCTATAGATCCCTTAAAGGATCCCTTAAAGGATCCCTTTTAAACCCTAAGCCCCAGACCCCTAAGCCCTCTCCTTCCCTGCGCCGCCAACTCGCGCTCCGCCGCCAGCAGCGGGCCGCTGAGGGAAAAGAGTCCCACCACGCGCATGCCTTGGGCTTTTTAAAGGGATCCATAAGGGTTCCTTTCAAGGGATCTTTAAGGGTTCCTTTAAAGGGATCTTTAAGGGTTCCTTTAAAGGGATCTTTAAGGGTTCCTTTAAAGGGATCTATAAGGGCTCCTTTAAAGGGATTTTTAAGGGTTCCTTTAAAGGGATCTATAAGGGTTCCTTTAAAGGGATCTTTAAGGGTTCCTTTAAAGGGATCTATAAGGGCTCCTTTAAAGGGATTTTTACGGGTTCCTTTAAAGGGATGTATAAGGGCTCCTTTAAAGGGATCTTTAAGGGTTCCTTTAAGGGATCTATAAGGGTTCCTTTAACGGGGTCTATAGGGTTTAGGGTTTAGGGGTTTAGGATTTAAGGGTTTAGGGTTTAGGGGTTTTTAAGGGTTTAGGGGAGGGGTTCGAGTTTAGGGTTTAGGTTTAGGGTTGGGGTTCCTTCAAAGGGATCTATAAGGGGCCCCCTAGAGGGATCTATGTGGGATACTTTGGAAGGATCTATATGGGGTTTAGGGCTTAAAGCAAAGTTTAGGGCTTTACAAAGGACAAAACAGGGCATGCTGGTTTTCAGAAGCGGTCTAATCCGGGTTTTGTGTGTGCGTTTTGGGGGGGGGGGGGTGCTAGTTCAAGGTTGTATAAGGGTATAAGGGTCGTTATGAGGGTTTCTACAAACGGGGTCTATAAGGACGGCTTTACAAGGGCTGTACAGTGGCTTTGATATAAGATGAACAAGGGCTTGCAGAGTTTTGTACGGGTTTTAAGAAGGAGCTCCGGAGAGGTTAGAGGTTTAGGGGTCTGGCGGTTTTTGGGTTTCGGATCAGGGTTGCGGCTTCGGGGCGTGATGGTTGCTACTACCCTTTCTACACCCTGGGCAGCCCTTAAATTGGAGCCTAAACCTTTCTGAGATCAAGACCCCTACTCTTGCACTTATCAATCCGGAAACCTGGCCCCCCACGCCGCATACCTTTAACCACAAAGAGCTTCAGCCTAAAATCTAAAACCGCAAGCCCGGAAGCAGACCCTATACCCTAAACTTCAAACCCTAAACCCTAAACTCCTAAACCCTAAACCCTAAACTCCTAAACCCTAAACCCTAAACCCTAAACTCCTAAACCCTAAACCCCTAAACCCTAAACCCCTAAACCCTAAACTCCTAAACCCTAAACCCTAAACTCCTAAACCCTAAACCCCTAAACCCTAAACTCCTAAACCCTAAACTCCTAAACCCTAAACTCCTAAACCCTAAACCCCTAAACCCTAAACTCCTAAACCCTAAACCCTAAACTCCTAAACCCTAAACCCCTAAACCCTAAACTCCTAAACCCTCAACTCCTAAACCCTAAACCCTAAACTCCTAAACCCTAAACCCCTAAACCCTAAACTCCTAAACCCTAAACTCCTACACCCTAAACCCTAAACCCCTAAACCCTAAACTCCTGAACCCTAAACCCTAAACTCCTAAACCCTAAACCCCTAAACCCTAAACTCCTAAACCCTCAACTCCTAAACCCTAAACCCTAGACTCCTAAGCCAAAAGAGCTCCAAACGGCCAGAGGTGCTGCCGCCTATGAAAAGCACCTGCTTCTCAGACACCTGCGCAGGCAAGGATGCCGGTGGCATAAGAACCTGACTTAAAAGCCTGGGTTTAGGGTGTAGGGGGTCTCCGTTCGACGGTTTAGGGTTTAGGGTTCCTTACAATGACATTATGAATCCTACCGTTTGTTGTTACAGGGCCGGGCCAGGAATTGATCATGAAAAGAGGGTTTCGGCGTTGAGGGCTCCGGGGCACAACTGGCTCTGCATCAAGGCATCATCTAAAGAAGCTCGACCCGAAAACGCCTGGTTGAGGATTCTGTCCCTAGACCTAAGATTTACCCTATCAATAAAAAAAGGTGCCCGTTTTGGTTTAAAGAGTGTTATTCCCAGAGACTCCAATATCCCTTAATTAAGGAGTATACCTTAAATTATAGTAGGCTCCTTAATATGGTTTGAGGTATATTCCTTAATTAAGGGATATTGGAGTCTCTAGGTTCCTACTTGGAGGGTCGGGGGACTTAGTAACTGGTTATTTTTGGGACTTATAAGTACCATAACCCCAATTAGGGCCCCTTTTAGGGTACTTATAAGTCTACTTACTACCCTACTTACTAAGTCCGCCGACCCTCCAAGTAGGTTCCTAGATCCTCAAAAGCAGCAGTGGAGGATCTCGATCGAAGCAGCGAAACCGCCTTGAAACGGCGTCCCCCGAAGCCCCCACGGTTTAGGGTTTAGGGTTTAGGGTTTAGGGTTTAGGGTTTTGGGTTTAGGGTTCCAAGCCCAAGAATCCTTAAACCTAATCTAGGGGTTAGGTACTGGCCCCATAGAGTAGTAGTCTATACTAGGGCTACCATTAAGGTCCTAGTTATATCTACATATATGGATATTCTTCAACTATTCCTGGGTGGGGGCGGTACCCAATCTAGGGGCCTGACTACTTGCAAGTTTCAGTCCTTTTAGGTTCCCTACTGCTTCTCTACCAGAGCATGACCGCAAACCTAGTTCGAAGTCACAAAACCCATGACCCCTAGACCCTAAACCCTTAACCCCGAAGCCCTAAACTCTAAACTCATAAGGCCCCTATACTATGCCCTTCAGCACAGCACTGCCGGCCTCCTTCGCAGAGAGGAGGCGCCGGACCTTAAACATGATTCCCATAGAGCTGGCGTCCGCTCCAAGAGACCTAAGCTCGGCGATAAGTGTCCATTCAGTCACTCGAAGAAGACTCCAGAGCGACCCTTCACGCCGAGGACGAGAACTCCAAGTCCATCTGGAGGAGGAGGAAACAGGATATGCTACTCGTTCAAGAACACAGGCTCGTGCTCAAGAGAGAATTGTCCTTTCAGCGGAAACTGCTCTCCGCAACCCTGAACTCTAAATCCTGGCCCCTAAACCCTGAACCCCTCAACCCCGAAACCCTGAACTCCGAAAGCCTAGGCCCTAAACCCTCAACCCCACACTCCTAAACCCTGAGAGATCCCGCTAGGAGGAACCTGTATCACTCCCTTTACTCCTTTTAAAGGGACCCCTTATAGATCCCTTTAAAGGAACCCCAAACCCTTAAACAAGAGCCCAGGCGCAGGGCGGCCATGGCTGCGCCGAAGTCCAGGGTGCCGGCGGTCGCGGCGGGCCATTGGACCACGGATCCTTAAAGGGTACTATAGTGAGAGGCCCAGGGGACTTAGTAAGTAGTAAGGTTCCTTGAAGGGCTCCTTAAAAAGGGATCTATAAGGGTTCTATAAGGGGGATTAGGGTTACTTAAGATGCCCAGGGGACTTAGTAAGTCTGTTATAAGTAGAGTTATAATTGGCGTACTTCCATTTAGGGTACTTATAACTCTACTTATAACCTACTTGCTAAGTCCCCTGAACCTCTACGTAGGGTTCTATACTAGGGTCCCCTTTAAGGGAGCCATGGGGTTCTAGGTCGCCTTTAAAGGGTAGAGCGGTATAGCATGGTTTAGGGTTCCATGATAGGGTCTCCCTTAAAAGGGTACTATAGGGTCCTATGATAGGGGGTCGAGGTAGAGGTAGTAGTAGGGTTAAGGGTTGAGGGTTTAAGGTTTAAGGCTTAGGGTAATGAATAAATTGAAAACTGTACTTAAACAATAAACCCGAACACCTGAACCTTAAAATCCTGCGGTCTAAACCTCAAGACCCTTAAACCTTAAACCCTAAACCCATGAACCCTGCACCCCTCAATCAGGCTACCTAAACCCCTCCACCCTAAACCTTAAAACCCTGAACCCTAAACCCCACCCCTCGATTCGATCCGACCGAGCATCCCAGGGAGAACTGCCTGAGGGAAGGGGCCTCCTTGCTGGAACCCCGCATGACGGCGCGGTAGCAGGGGCCCCGAGCGCTGGGCAGCGCGCCGAGAGCGGACTTCCTGTGGGTTTCCCGATAAGGGTGGTTGTCAAAATTAGGGTCCCTCGTTGGGTCCTTATTATAATACGGCACCTAATATTTAGGGTAGCCAAAAGGGGACCAGAATTTTGACAACCACCAAGTCAGGGGTTCGTTAAAGGATCTAGGGTTCAGAAATCTATGAGCTTTAGGACGGAAGGCCTTAATGGTTTACGTGTAATTTTGGGTGAAGTGTTCAGGGTTGAAGTGTTTAGGGTTTCAGGATGTAGGGCTTCAGGCTTTAATTTAAGGGTTTACCCGTGAAAATTCTAAGAGTCTGCTTTTCAAGCTGGAAAGGAGACCCCGGAATACAAAAGGGTAATACTTGGGAACCTAGCTTCAGGAGGGGCATGTAGAGCTGGCACTGCGCATGGACGTCCACGAAGGTCGCGGCGGCGTGCAGCGCAAGGAGGTGGATGGCCGACAGCCCCGACCTGCCCTCACCTTGTGCGATCTCTCTCTGCACCAAGAAGCGGATGATGCTGGCTTTGGCGGGGCCCAGCAAATCCAACAATGCAGAGGCAGCAACTTCCTCCTTGGCTGCGGCTTCCTCCTGCTCCGCTGAGATGGAGGTTACCCGCGTCAAAGCTGGAGGCTGCATCGGTACAGGCAGCAAACCTCCGGTTGCCGGTGCATCTGCTGGCCTCACTTCGCTGATGCCGAAGAGCATCCTCTCTCGTAGGTCTTGCAGTCGGGATAAGGGAGTTGCACTGGCGAAGTGCTGCACTGCCTGGGGTAGAAGGCTCCAATCGCTGGGATCCAGAAGACGCGCAGCTGCAGAGGGTGCATCACTGCCGGTCTTGCTGTCCTGCGACTGGCGTCGAGCCCGTCCCAAGCGTCGAAGTCCCTCCAGGTCTGCATTGCTCAGAGTCACACCCGCATCAAGCATGACCCTGGCAGCTTGCTGGGAACTCGACCACTGGGCCCACATCAGGGCGGACGGACTCGCACCTGGAAGGGGATCCTCCGATATGTCCGTGGCAGCAAGGAGCTTGATTGCCTCGGCATCGTCCATCAGCGCTGCAAGCGATGTCGGCCGAAGGACACCCACCCCGGCACAGACGGCCACCACTTTGGGATCTGAGCCGCATTCGTCGAGCACCTGCTTGAAGGCCTGATGGGCTGGCAAAGACTTCGTGGCACCCTCGGGCCAAAGCCGCCGCAGCAGCGTCCAGCGCTGCGGTTCGAGCACGGCGCGCACCTGCTCCTGGGCGAACCTGAGGTCTCGTGAAGGATATGGAAGCAACATAGCAAGGAAACCCTGAATAATTATAGGGCAACTTAACCATTATATTACTACAGACCCCTATTATTACATGGCAACCTCAAAAAATAGAAGTTCCTTAAACAAAAAACTAAACCCTAAACCCTAAACCACCCCTTGACCCCTAAACCGTTAAAAGAGCCCAGGAGCTGCGTGCCCGCGGCTCGCGGGAGCCCGGCAGGCTGCGGCCGGACCCCGCGCTGCAGCAGCAGATCCTGGGCTTTAAAGTAACCAGCGTTTAGGGTTTTAGGATTTTAGGGTTTAGGGTTTAGGGTATAGGGTTTAGGGTTTAGTGTTTAGCGTATAGGGTTTAGGGTTTATTTTGGTTCCCTTTAAGCAACAGACCCCCAAAAAAAGTAGTATAGTATGGTACTCCAAAGCCCAGGATCGCAGGCTCGGTCCAAGCCACCCAAGGCCGCCAGGTGGAGGATGTTGCTCCCCTCCTCCAGGCGGTTAGGATTTATAGGGTATATAGGGTTTATACAGGGTTTATAGGGTGTTTATAGGGTTTATAGGGTTTAGGGTATTAGGGTTTAGGGCTGCAGGCTCCTAATAAACTTGTACGGTTGCCGTTTCGGGTCTAACCAAAAAAACGGCACGCATGGAGTCGAAAAAGATATGGTGTATCCGAGAGATCGCACACCAGAGCAAGAACAGGACGGCATCTTCCGATGTAGTGCATTGCATCAGAGACTAGGCGCTGATATAGTCGAGTATCTTCAATGCTCTGTGCATAGCTAGCATATTTTACTTCTCACTAGCAAGTAGTCTGAAATATCAGTAACCAATGCTTGAATATTCCTCATGCACCAGTAGATACTAAATTCCAACTACACATTCTATTTTCGTTTAAACAAAGGCCATTACACAAAAAACAAAGGTCATAAAAAAAAACTGTATTGTTGAATCTTGTCTTGTTGCTAGTAGGTGTAATTTGTCTCATAACTATTCAATATATGACTACTAGTTGTAGCCGTGATCTTACTCGTAGTCGTAGCCCCAGTCGCAGTCGTAGCCATAGTCGTAGTAGTCCAAATCGTCGTCGTCGTTGAGTCGTCGTCGTTGAGTCGTCGTCGCAGTATGAGTACTCGTCGTCCTAGTATGAGTACTCGTCGTCGACGTCGTGGCCATAGCGGTAGCCGTTGCCGAAGCCCATGCGGAAGGCCAGGTAGAAGCAGGCAGCAGTTGGCGTAGCCGTAGCCGCAGGTGTAGCCGTAGTGGTAGCAGCGGCGCCGTAGCCGTAGCGGTAGCCGCAGCGGCAGCCGTAGTGGCAGCAGTAGCAGTCAGTAGCAGTGGTCGTGGTAGTGTCGTGGTATCGGCAAGGGCAGGGGTAGCGGTAGTGGTAGTGGTGATGGTAGGAGAAGTCGTCGTCGTGGCGGTGGAGGTGACACGACTCCAGCTAATCGAAACATGTTGAAACAATGAGTTAATGAGCTCATGAATCTACAAAGCCCTTAACCCTAAACCTCTCGTCCTCTCTTCTGTTCATGTAAACCGTAAACCCTACTAAATCCTAACCCTTAAAGAAACCCTTATAGATCCATTAAAGGAACCCTTATGGATCCCTTGAAGGAACCCAACCCGTATAGATCCCTTGGAAGAACCATCCCTTAAAGGCACCCTGCTGAATCCCTCAAAGGGAACCCTATCCCTTGAAGGAACCCAACCCTTATAGATCCCTTGAAGGAACCCTGATGGATCCCTCAAAGGAACCTTGATGAATACCTTAAAAGGTAACCTTATAGATCCCTTAACGGAACCCTGATGAATACCTTAAATCCAAGGGTAAAAGGAGGGACCCTTAATAAGGACCCCTAGGTATATGCCCTTAATATAGCTAGTATATACCCATGATATAGCCCATTATAGGGTAGGGGTCCCCATTAAGGGGCCTTCCTTGTCCCCTTTGATTAAAGGAACTCCTAAAAGCCTTCAAGCCCCTAGAGCTCCGAACCCTAAACCCTAAACCCGGAACCCTCATAGATCCCTGAAAGGAACCCTTATAGATCCCTTAAAAGGAACCCTTATAGATCCCTTAAGCGAACACTTATGAATACCTTAAATCCAAGGGCCTTAAATAGCTATGATATACCCATTATATAGCCCATTATAGGGTAGGACCACACCTTAAAAGGAACCCTAGAAAGGATCCCTTAAGGGAACACTTATGAATACCTTAACGGAACCCTAAAAAGGATCCCTTAAGGGAACACTTAGGAATACCTTAAAAGGAACCCTGAAAAGGATCCCTTAAGGGAACCCTGATGAATCCCTTAAAAGGAACCCTAAAAAGGATCCCTTAAGGGAACACTTATGAATACCTTAAATTCAGTCCTCCAAGCCCAGGGCTTCACAGGCGGCTTGGCCCAAAGGCGGCTCTTGGCCCCAGGTCTGGGCCAGCAAAAGCTTCGCGGCCTGGGGGTCTGCAAGGGTTCAACAAGGGTGTAGGGTTTAGGGTTTAGGGTGTAGGGTTTAGGGCTTAGGGTGTAGGGTTTAGGGTTTAGGGTGAGGGGTTCGGGGTCTATAAGGGTTCTGTAAGGGCTAAGGGTTCAGGCTACCCTGAACTCTTAGGGTTTGGGAGCTCAGGGTTTGCTTTTAGGGCTTAGGGCTTAACCCCAGGGTGTAGGGCAGTGTAGGGCTTAGAGCTTAGGGTTTAAGGCTTGGGGCTCAGATCTTTGACAAAGCGCACCGTGGCAACATGGATGAGCCGTCGCAGTAAGCCATTGCTTCATGCTGTTCTGCTGCAAGAGGCTGGACATCAGTAACCTGTACCACGAAAATTGGCCTCAAGTCCTTGGGAGCCACTCCCGCCGCAACAGCAGCTTCAGGAGCAGCAGCTTCCTTCCGAAGGTGCACTTGACGCAAGTGAGCCCAGACGCTAGGCCACTCACTGCGCACGGCCCAGTCCAAAACTAACTGGCGGAAGGTCTCAAAGACTGGTAGAGGGAGTGCCGCCAGCTCGTCACCAAGCCATCCGTCGACCCCGGCCCCTGAGCGATCCATAGCATCCGCACGTTGCTTGAAGGCTGCAGCCGCCGGGACCCAGCTCAGGGTTTACATGGGGTTTATAGGGCTTAGGGCCTATAGGGTTTAGGGGTTAGGGTTTAGGGTTTAGGGCTTAGGGTTTAGGGTTTAGGGCTTTAGGGCGTAGGGTTTGGGGCTTAGGTTTTAGGGTTTAGGGCTTAGGGTTTAGGGCTTAGGGTTCAGGGTTCAGGCTTGGCATTGAAGTGTGTAGGGCGTCCAGGGGATGTGCTCTATTTTCCTGGCTTAGGGATGAAGGGTTTGGCTTGGAGAAATTACAATGCACGGGGGGCTGAGGGGGGCTTGGCAGTCCCTTCGGAAACTCCACAATCCCTCAAGACCGGGAACTCCCTTTCACTGCAGGAAGCCCAAAAAGTCCTAAAAGCCCTAAACCCTAGGGCCATACGTGAAAGGACGTTCAAGTCGTCGGGCTAACATGCGCAGGCTCGATGCTTACAGTAAATCCCAAATCCTCAACAGCCAAACCGTCAGCTCTACGAGCTCAACATCCAGCCGAATGCCCAGAGGCATTCCTCCCAAAACCTCCAGCCCTGACAAGAGAGCTTAGTAACAGCATTCCTGAGCGTGAAACCCGAGCATTCCTGGGACTTGAGCCTGGGACTCTTACAGCAAAACCCAGAAGTTAGCCCTAAACCTCTGCAACCGCAATACCCTGAAGCCTAAATCATGAACCCTGAACGTTTTTGAAATCCTACACCCGGCATCCTACACCCTTATAAACCCCGAACTCCTAAACACTGAACCTGCACTGTAGCTGAAATGGGAGTCTCCGAAACTTAGGGGTACCTTATCTTGGGGTCCTTATAATAAGGATTCTACTATGTAAGGTACTATATCAGAGACCCCCTATTTTCGGAAACTCCCAAATATTTCAGGAGGATCCTCGGGTCTTACAGCTGTATATAGTTTCGGTTCGTGCTCAAACTTTCGGGGATGTTCGGGTCCACCCTAAACCCTAAACCCTTTCTGGTCGTCCTATCGTCGTAGTATAGCACACCAAACTGAACCCTAAACAACCCCTGAATCCCTATACATTCCTGTTCTAACTTCCCAGGCCCCGACATACTGTTGATGATATAAACTACCTTCAGCACCCTAAACTATGGGAATTATTGTATATTCCTTCTTATGGGTAATGCAGGATTTATATCATCAACCGTAGTACGACGGCCTCGTCGTGATCGCGCGCCACCGCGATTGCCAAGGCCGAAAGGCCATGGACGCGGGTCCTGAAGCCAGGGTCCGAAGTTGCTCTATTGTAGGGTCCTTAAGGGGGGGTGGTTCAAGGGGGGAGGGTACTAGGGAGCTTTGGGGAACCTTAGGGAAGCTTAGGGAGTATTGGGGAATAATGGGGATTACTATGTTACCTACCCCCCTTGGACCACCCCCCCTTAAGGACATGCTCACTCTAGGGTTTGGCTTTTGGCTTTTGGTTTGATTGCTTCAGGGTGGGACCTGGGGTGTTGGGCTTGAGGGCCCTAAACCCTAACCCTAAACCCCTAAACCCTAAACCCCTAAACCCCTAAACCCCTAAACCCCTAAACCCTAAGTGGAGGCGGAAACACAACTCGCAGAACGGATGGATTTGGAGAACCGGAGCCCCGAGAAGCCGCGGACGCCCCAGGTACTAGGACTGGATAGTAGGATCCTTATTATAAAGACCCCCAAATAAGGTACCCCTCATTTTCGGAAACTCCCAAGTGGTTATATTATCCCCCAAAAATGTAAGTAACATGCATCCAGTCATCTACTAAGCTAGGGTCTGCACGACCATGTGGCAGGAACTAACCACAACCCTAAGCTACAAACCCTGATACCCTAAAGCCTAAAGAAACATAAACAGCCTCAACACCAAAAAAGGAACAAAGCAGCTGTAAGCCCTCAACCAAAACCCCAGGAAAATCAACACAAACAAACAACAAAAAAACGCAAAAGCTCGGATGCCAACCTAAACCCCTAAACCCTAAACTGCCTAGACCCTAAACCTCAAAACCATCTATGAATAGAAACCCTAACCCAAAACCATAAACTTCAAAGCCCCGAAACAAAGCTCGGAGCCAAGAGCCCTAAACCCCTAAACCCTAAACTCATAAACCCTAAACCCCTAAACCCTAAACCCTAAACCCCTAAACCCTTAAAGGAACCCTTAGAGATCCCCTGAGTTGTCCTTGAAGCCCTTTGAAAGATATTTACTACTATGGTTCTCTACAAAATCGTAGGGCAACTCAAAAAAGATCCTAAAACAAACGCAGTCACCTTAAAGGAAACCAAGAACAAAAACCTCGGCTCCCAGCGGGTCCTCAGCTCGGCGCGGGTGTTGATCAGAACTCGGAGGGCTCCGATCTGGGAGGTCGCGGCCGCAAAGTGCACAGAGCCTTTGCGTGGGGCTGTAGCGGTGGGGGGGGCGATTTAACATAGGAGCCTTCATAATTAGCATAGGGCTTTGGGGCTCCTTTAAAGTATTGCTGTAGAAAGGAACCCTAGGGGCCGGACCATATTTTTGACAACCACCCATATGATTGAACTGTAGGGCCCGAAGGCCTCAGGCTCAGGGCTTCAGGGAAACGGGCTTGCGGTTCAGAGTTTAGGTGTGACTTGGGGGGTTTAGGGTTTTTATGGTTTAGGGTTTAGGGTTCACCCGGCTCTTGCCGAATCTCGTTGTGTGCGCCTCAACAGCTGGGATGAAGGTAGCTGGGGTAATCCCAAAATCAGAACCCTTCTTTGGGGGATCCTTCCTCCTATCTACCTTCATCAGAGCCCTTACATAGGGGGATCCTTCCTCCTATCTATTTTCATCAGAGCCCGAAAAAAGGGGATCCTTCCTCCTACCTGCCTTCATCCCACCTTTTACGGCCTCCAAGAGCAGCAGAACTTGGGGGCTCGCGGAATTTGGGAATTTCCGAAAATAGGGAATCCTAATATAGTACCCTAAATAGTAGGATCCTTATAATAGGGACCCCAAAATAAGGTACCCCTAATTTTCGGAAACTCCCATTTTATGTGAGGTCGAAGTCTCCGGGGATGTCTGGTAAACCCGAAGGATGAAAACCAAATCATGCCCTTGCAGAAGCCCTAAATCAAAGGGGAGAAGGACGGACCCTTAATGGGGACCCCTACCCTATAATGGGCTATATAATGGGTATATAATAGCAGTATTAAGGGTATATACCTAGGGGTCCTTATTAAGGGTCCCTCCTTTTACCCTTGGACTAACGAACTCCTAAAAGCCTTCAAGCCCCCCGAGCTCCGAACCCTAAACCCTAAAGCCGGAACCCTACCTAATCCCTTGAACTCCAAACGGTTTAGGGTTAAGGGTTTAAGGAAACCCTGAACCCCGAACCCTAAACCCTAAACCCTGAACCCTAAACCCTGAACCCTGAACCCTAAACCCTGAACCCTAAACCCTAAACCCTGAACCCTAAACCCTAAACCCTAAACCCTAAACCCTGAACCCTAAACCCTAAACCCTAAACCCTGTACCCTAAACCCTAAACCCTGAACCCTAAACCCTGAACCCTAAACCCTAAACCCTGAACCCTAAACCCAGCCCTTGAACTTCAATTAATGGCCCGGGAAACGGCCCGGAACTGCTCCGATGCGGAGCAGGAGGGCCAGTGCCTGGAAAAAGCATGGCAGGGCTTGGGGGGTTTGGGGCTTAGGGGTGTGTAGGGTTTAGGGTTTAGGGTTGAGGGTTTAGGGTTTAAGGTTCGGGGTTTAGGGTTTCGGGCTTCAGGGGTTTAGGGTTTATAGGGTTTAGGTTTAGGGTTGAATAATCTTTCGCAGGGGTACTCTGGTGTTTTAACGGTGGCCTACGGGGTTCTGTGACGACGGGGTTTGAGTTTTAGGACTCAGGGCTTAGAAGTTTAGGGTTTGGGTTGACGGCTATGAGTATGGAGTTTCGGGCTCAATGCTTTTAGGTCCAGGTTTCTGAGGCATTCGGAATCATAAACCCGAAACCCGAAACCATGATAATGGTTTAGAGGCTCAGAGATTTAAAAAGTTTTTTTAGTCATGTAAGTTTGGGGGGTTAGGGGGGTTTCTTGGGGTCTACACTTTACGGCTAGCTGGCTAAGGCTTTCGAGGGTGGCGAGTTTCCCTTAATTCGAAATCAATGACGAAACGAATGCTCTGTTTTCTTCTGCGCCCGGTGCCACTGTGCTATTTCTGCAAATATTGCCATTGCTGCTTTGATTGGCCTGGATGGGATTCCTGGTGTTGGTGGACCCTTCATGATCAGGCTTGCGTTACTCTCGTAGCTGCGCGATCTGATCTAGGTGCTGCCTACTCTCGGATTTTCTACCTGTGCAGTGGCATTGGGTTCTTCATTGATGTTTGACTGGCCAAGGCGGCCCATATGTAGTGCACTAGCCACCGGCTGATAACGATAACGACTGCAGTGCTGATGCGATGATGATGACGATCAGGGGATGACTAGAACGTTGACATTGCAAGGGGTAGTGCAACGGCGCCCATGGTGGTAATGTCATAGTTGTGATGCGAAAAGACAAACGCGAAGATCCTGATTTCGCTTCAAGGATGGTCACGAGACTGCGATCATGCCCTCGTCATGAAGACAAAGATGAAAAACAGCACGGTCACAATAATCACAAAGAACGGTGGCGCTCATGATGAAGCACCTTAAGAGGGATCAGAGATTCTGGTGATGATAGTGATCATGACACCGATAGAGATGGTCATCATTGTCATTATTGTCCTCTTCTTCGCCGTCGTCAGCAGCATTGTGGTTAGCATCTCCGCCTTCATCGTCATGAACATCATCACCATCAACAGCAGCCTCCTATCCTCAACGTCTTCACCACCTTCTACTCCTGCCATCCTCGCAATCACCACCTTCAGCACCACCGTCATGTCCGCCAACATTATCATGCGGCGGTGGCCGCGGTATGTTGTAACGACTAGCGCGATGGATTCGGAGTTTCACGTACAAGCCATAGCTGCAATTCACTAACCCGGGCCCTTAAAACCTGTATAAACCCTAACTTTGGGCCTGGAGGGCGCCCGTAGAAGCTGCAACCTCCGTCGGGAGCACGCCGCTGCTGTCGCGATGGGGGTCAGCCCCACAAGCCAGGCACATCTGGAGGACCTGACAGCTCGCCCCGGGGTTCCTTTAAAGGGGTCTACAAGGGCTACTATAAGGGATCTATAAGGGTACTATAATAATGTAGGAACCTGATTAAGAAACCTTGGGCCTTTACTAGGGTTCCTTATATGGATCCTACAATGTTGGGGTTCTAGGCCCAGGGTATCTCAATCAGGTTCCTACATTGTTGCAGAATATCCAGAGATTACAGGGCTGAACGCTCCACAGCTAAAGCAACTAAAGTATGTTGGAAGGCACATGGAAGAGCATTCTGAAGACTCTCTGCTTTGGGGCATCCTTCTACGAAGATGGGTCCTCCGTGTATGCAGTTCTTATCGAACCAGAGCCACCAAGCCAACCCAGAGGAGACAAACAAAGAAAAAAGTTGCTGCGAACAGGTCTTCCAATGATTTTTCGGGAAAGCGGTGGATTCAAGGAGTACTACTGCCGAATTTTTGTGCAAGTCCTACTTTTACACCTAAACCTTAAACTCTTCGTCCCGCCAACTTGTCTTCAACCTTGCAGGTTCAAGCCTCCACCTTTTCTATCAGACAATGCTCCCCGGTAGCTGGATCGATGTAATGCAGGGGGGTTAGTATTAGAATAGGGTTCGGGGCTCCTTTATACTATAATATTCTTAAAAAAATAATGAGGAACCCTAAGGAACAATGTTGGGATTTATTTAAGCTTCTAGGGTACACGCAAAAACCAGAACCTCCAATGTCCCTTCATTAAGGAATGTACCTAGTAGGACCCTTAATACGATTCAAGGTATATTCCTTAATTAAGGGATATTGGAAGTTTCTGGTAATACTTCTCTCAAACCCCTAAACCCTACGGTAGAAGCCCAAAAGTTGGAAACCCAATAATTCAATAGCCTCAATCCTTAAGAGTCATGTATAGGCAATCCCAGCACTATTTGGCCTTAATCCGGTTTCCAATTTTATGGGGTTTACTGTAGGGTTTGTTGTGGTTTTGGGGTTTAGGGTTGAGGGTTTAGGGGTTTTGGGTTTAGGGTTTAGCAACTTGATGGAGATTACTGTAAACCCTAAACCCTAAGGGCTTCGGGGCTAGGTCTCTCGGGCCTTGAAGTTTCATAATCCGCGACACGAGCCTTAAGCCCTGAACCCTAAAGCCCTCAAACCCCGAACCGTAGAGGCCATGTCATCATGTGGAACCCTAAGCCCTACAGCCCTAAAGCTCTAATTTATAACCCTTATATAATAATTAGAAAGGGGTTTCGGTGTACATACTACTGTAATCACAATAAGGAACCCACACAGTCGTATTGGTATATTCAACCCTAAACTTTACAGCCCCCAAACCCGCAGACTCTCTCCGACCTCCAAGTTCTTAGTATCAAAGGGGAAAAGGAGGGACCCTTAATGGGGACCCCTACCCTGTAATGGGGCTATATAAGTAAGAAGTGGGGGAATGGATTCCTATGGAAATCCATTTAAGGTCCTAATATGACTTAGGGTGTATTCCTGAATTAGGGGATGTTGGAGCCTCTGGGTTAGTCCATATAATCAAAGACTCCAATATCCCCCAATTAAGGAATTTACCTTAAATCATATTAGGGATCCTACCATAATTTAAGGTATAATCCTTAATTAAGGGATATTGGAGCCTCTGGGTAATATCCCGACCTCCAGGTCGTTGTTTGCAGCCGCAAGCCAGAGAACGGAGGGCTGATCCCGCCCAAGGGAGGCGAAGTCCAGGTCCAAGCCGCGGACCAGCAGCTCTTGGATAACCTGGGAGCAGCCCTTAATACAACTAGGATACCCAGTAACCTAAGAATAAAAAGGCCTCTCTTTTTGGTAGTGGGTAACTTTATAAGGAACCTAGGACTACAAAAAGGGAATAAGGGTACTACTGGGCATCCTAGACAATGTTTGACATGCTGGATAACCTGAGAACGACACTTAATTCAACAGGTGATATGCTGCTATATAGAACAGTATAACTATATAACTAAGGAGAAGCCCCTAAGCCATATGCCTTGTTGCTTCCCTTCGTTTTGTCACCACTGGTCTGGCTGATGGTGTGTTGGTGCGAAAAGCATCAACATCTTCATCTTAAGCCGTTGCAACCATGAGCTCTAAAACCACTGAAAACATGTCTTCATCAAACCTGATGCTACACAAAAGAAAACCTCAACAACCAATATCCAAAAACAATGAAACCTCTCTACTTACGTGAACTACAACAAGGGCCTGCAAGCGCTTTGGGGCTCGGCTGTCGATGGCCTGCTTGATCTTGGCCCAGCTGCGCTGCAGCCTTGGATTTTCCGTTCGGGGTTTTGGGTCCTGCAGAGTTTAGGGTTTCGGGTTGAGAGGTTCAGAGGTTTGGGATTCAGGGACTTAAGGGTTTAAGGATATCGGGCTTAGGGATTTCGTTTAGTGATGCCCCGACTGAGGGGTTTCGGATGGCTGAAGGGCTGGAGGCTGATGTCTTGCAGTTGAGAGCTTGGGACTTTAGCGTGCAAATGCCTGGATGCTACCAGAGCCGCTACGGTTGATGACATAAGTCCTGCATTAGCTGAAGGACCCTAAACTATGGGAATAATGGTATACTCCTTATTATGGGTAATGCAGGATTTGTCTCATCAACCGTATCCTTGGCTGGTTTGGGGTATAGGGGCCATCGGATTCTAGTATTGCTCTAGCTTGTGGTCGTTGGTTCTACGTGTTTCCATGCCTCGCACGCTTGTCACCATAGCCCGTAGCTCTCGGTTCTTCAATGATGCGAAGGATAGTGCATCAGCGCATGCAGATGCCGATAACAACAGCACCGAGCTCTAAAAGCCATGCCCGGCAGCACTCAACCCTTGAATTCCTAAACCCCAAGCATGCGCATCCCAAATCGCTAATTAAACTCGAAGCCCCCAACACCCGAAATCACAAACCCCTGGACCCAAGCCCCTGAATTTCCAAGACAACACCCCAAAAACCCGTCGAAACCCCAGGCGCATGGGCAGCGCCATGGGCTCCGCGCGCGCCGCGGCGCGCTGCTGCTCCACGGCGGACCACTGCTCGGTCCACTTCCTCAGCACGCAACACCGATTAGGGTTTAGGGGTTTAGGGTTTAGGCTTTAGGGGTTTAGGGTTTAGGGGTTTAGGGGTTTAGGGTTTATGAACGTCAGACTATTCATGACTATCACCATCGTCAGAAGGATACCAGTAAGGATAAAAAGAGTTCAAACGAATACAACTACAACATCGACAGTAGTACAATGAGCATCTCATTTGCCAAGAACAACAGCAATGGTAAACAATATTGATTGAAACATTTCAGTATCAACGGCAAAGAAAGCCTTTTGATCAGCGCAGAAACGAAACCTTAAACCCGAACACACAAATCGAAGCAATCGAGCTACAACCCAAAATCCAATGCAAAAAGCCCCTGCACCGGCACCCTAAACCCAAAATCAATAACCCCTAAACCTTCAACCCCTAAACCTTAAACCCCTAAACCTTCAACCCCTAAACCCTAAACCCCTAAACCCTAAACGCCTAAACCCTAAACCCCTAAACCCTAAACCCCTAAACCCTAAACCCCTAAACCTTAAACCCCTAAACCCTAAACCTTAAACCCCTAAACCCTAAACCCCTAAACCTTAAACCCCTGAACCCTAAACCCCTAAACCTTAAACCCCTAAACCCTAAACCCCTAAACCTTAAACCCCTAAACCTTCAACCCCTAAACCCTAAACGCCAAAACCTTAAACCGTAAACTGAACCCAGGGCCCCCAATTTGCCCGGGGCCTGTGAGCCTGCTTGAGGTTTGGGCTGAGCGATACGGGGGTCTCGGGTATCCTATGGGTTCCTTTAAAGGGGTCTACAAGGGCTACTATAAGGGATCTATAAGGGTACTATAATAATGTAGGAACCTGATTAAGAAACCTTGGGCCGTTATTGGGGTTCCTTATATGAATCCTACTATTTTGGGGTTTCAGGCCCAGGGTTTCTTAATCAGGTTCCTGCATTATCCTATGGCTGCAGATCCGGGATATACAGATCTTCGCGGGCTTCAGCGGTTGCAGAACTTTTGTCCTTTGTAGCGGTTTTGCAACAGTTGAAGGATACACGACCAAGGCTGTGCGCAAGATGTTCGCTCCACCAAACCGATGCAAGACGACCTCCCAAAATCGAACCACTGGCACGCAACCTCAACCTTCTTCTACATGGGAGTTTCCGGAAATAGGGGACCCTAATAATGTAATACCCTAAAATAGTATAGGATGCTTATTATAAGGACCCCCAAAGTGCGGTACTCCTAATTTTCGGAAACTCTAAACCCTAAACCCTGTATAGAACCCTTATAGATCGCTTTAAGGAGCCCTTAAAGGATCCCCTTTAAAGGTACCCCTAATCTTCGGAAACCCCCACCTTTTTAAAACACTGAGAGAGCACAATCTCAACTCGAGCCCTGGTCGTGGCCCACAGCCGTCAATGTGGGTAGTTCCTTTAGAAGGGTCTATAAAAGTTCATTTAAAAGGATCTATAAGAGTTCCTTTAAAAAGGATCTATAAGGGCTCTATAGAGGTTTTAGGGTTTAGGGGTTTAGGGTAGTTGTCAAAATTAAGGTCCCTTTCTGGGGTACCCTAAATAATTAGGTGCCGTATTACATTAAGGACCCAAAGAGGGACCATCATTTGAACAACCACCCAATATAACAAACGGCATTGCTTCCGGCGAACTAACTTAAGTGAATCAAGTTGCACATGTGCAAATACATTATGTATGAGATATGACATGGCTGCATGATCTATTCATGCGGAAGATATGTCTTTCTTCCATGCTGCATTGTCGTTCCCAACATCTGTCATCACCTCTGCTATCCTAGCAAGTACGTAAAAACCAAGAACCAACTCGTGGTTGTAGGGATCCTTGATAAGAAGCTCCTAATGATTGGAATGGGCTTTGTGGGCCTATTATGTTCTAGTTATCTAAGGACTACAAGGCGATACTACTAATGACTATTTTGATTCCCATAATTTTCTGTCCGGGTCGCCGGGTCAGGCTGGGAACTTCTTCGTCGCCACGGCCGGCTGCTGCCAGCTCCTCAAGCTGTCCGATTGTCAATGGATTCAGGGGGGTAGTTGTCAAAATTAGGGTCCCTTTTTGGGTGCCCTGAATATTAGGAAAAGGGACCCTAATTTTGACAACCACCCAGGGGTTAAACTTTAGCCGAATGCAGATCCTCGGCGTGCAATCCGGTCTTCACGGCCTGCAGCTCGTCCGGCCGTGCCCCGGGCAAGAACAGCGCCTTCCTGGGGATAAGGGGTCCCTTAGCCTTAAAGGGGTCTATATGGGAGTTTCCGAAAATAGGGGGACCTTAATATGGCACCCGGAATGGTAGGATCCTCATTATGAGGACCCCTTAGTAAGGCACCCCTAATTTTTGGAAACTCCCATATGGGTTCCTTGCTAAACCCTAGGGTTTAGAGGTTTAGGGTTTAGGGTTTGGGTTTGGGGTTTGGGGTTTAGGGTTTAAGGGTTAGGGGTTTAGGGTTTGGGGTTTAGGGTTTGGGGTTTAGGGGTTAGGGGTTTCGGGTTTGGGGCTTAGGGCGGGAGATCTGGGCTTGGGCGTAGGCTTCAAAGTCTCCGGCCCAGGGTCTCGGGTGGAGGGCTTAGGGGTTTAACGGTTTAGGGGTTTCCAGGGTAATGTAGGAACCTGATTAAGAAACCCTGGGCCTATAACCCCCCAAAATAGAAGGATTTATCACAAGGAGCCCTCAGGGTTGGGACTAGGGACCAGGAGTCGCTGTACTTTGGTGGTTTTCCGCTGGAGGCAGAGGGCTTTCATAGGCTTTGGGAGCGGCTGTTCGTGTTCAGCGACAAGAGTCTGAGATCTATATATATATATATATATATATATATATATATATATATATACAGTACATATTTATTTATTTATTCATGAGGTTTAGGGGTGCGGCATTGAGGCTCCTTGTCAGGAAGGCTGAGAAAAATCGACTAGCAAAACCTTCGTCCCTGAACTTCTATTATGCTAAGCCCTGAACCCATGACCTCTGCAAACCCTCAAAGGCCAACCCCCGAACCTCGAACCTTCAACCTTTCACTGAACCAGTGGCTGCACCCAAAACATTGCAGACCGATTTTAGGTCGATTTGGGAGTTTCCGAAAATAGGGGGTACCTTCTTTGGGGTCCTTCTAATAAGGATCCTACTGCTTAGGGTACTATATTAGGGCCCCCTATTTTCGGAAACTCCCATTTCGGTATTGGAACTTAAGGAGCCTCTAACTTTAAGTTTTCACAGTTTGGGGTTTTATGCCCTGAGGGTTTTAACCCCACACCTAAACCCTGAACCCTAAACCCTTAACCCTCAACTCCCTTTAAACCCTAAACTCCCTAAACCCGAAACTCCTTAAACCCGAAACCCTAAACTCCCTAAACCCGAAACCCTACACTCCCTAAGCCCTAGACCCTAGACCCTAGACCCTAGGGTTCCGGAGAGCAAAAGCCGAGCCGAGCTTCCTGAGGAACTCCCCGGGGCTTAGGGTTGCCATAATACAGAAACACTAGTCTTGACGGTTTAGGGTTTAGGGTTTAGGGTTTAGGCTATTTACTATAGATCTCTACCATGGTGACTTAGATTCAGTTCCTTAACACTAAACCCTTATAGAACCCTTAAAGGAACTCGAAATTATGGTAACTTCAAGTCAGTTCCTTAACAAGAACCCAGTCCTGAGGAACTCCAGTGGCTTCTGCGGGTGAGCGCTGCGGAGGGCCTTCTCCACGTCCTCCTGCAGGGTTTCTAGGAGTTTAGGATTTAGGGCCTTGGGTTTAGGGCCTAGGGTTGAGTTCAGGGTTCAGGGGTTAGGGTTTCAGGCTTAGGGTTTTAAGTTTAGGGTTTACGGTTTGGTTTAGGGTTCTGAAAAGGTTCTAAAAGGGTTCTATACGGGTTCTATAAGGGCTTTAAGTTAACTTGGGGTTCTGTAATGCTTTCCCGCTTTACGAGTAGAAACCTACGGCACATACAACTACCCATCGGCCTTCAACCCAGACCTTCCAAAATCCCTTAATTAAGGAATATACCTTTAATCATACTAAGGATCCTACTATAATTCAAGGTATATTCCTTAATTAAGGGGTTTTGGAAGGTCTGGGAAGTGTGGGACTTGGGAATTGCCTCGGGGGGTCCGAGATGTGGATGCGACCCGTCAGACCCATGATCAAAGTATTCTGCCTCATAACCCGTAGGGGTGTTAAATTTTGGTGCAACAAAAATGGAAACACAAGTCTAAGAAAACCCGCCCAGCACTGAATCCCACTTCGATTCCTGTAGGCGTTTCAAGAGAAGCCGGATCCATAGCTCGTCCTCCCCGGAGTCCTCGCGACGTTTTGGGGAGGGATTTGTCTTAGCGGGGCCAGAATCAATAGACTAGGGCTTTCGGGCATGTTTAACACATAGTTGCAATGCAATTAAATGTATGACCCGTGGTTACGGCCGTTGTTGCTTAGGGAGTTCGGGATTTCATGGACCGGGTTCGGTGGTCTGAAGGTCTTGCGATGTGTTTGGGTTTTGAGGTTTAAGTTCTTAGGTTGAAAAAGGTTTAGGGTTTAGAGCTTTGAAAGTCTCGCGATGTATTTGGGGTTTTGAGGTTTATGGTTTGAAGTTGAGCTCACGGTTCAAGAGCTCAGGCTTGTGATCCAGAATATATGGACCCCGAGAGACCTACCCGCATTTTTAAGGACTCATATGGGTGTTGCCGAAAATAAGGGACCCTAATATATAGTACCCTAAATAGTGGGATCCTATGATAAGGACCCCAAAACAAGGTACCCCTAATTTTCGGAAACTCCCATATAAGGAAATCAAAATAGGGAACCCAGAAAAGGTAGGATTCTTTAGGGTCCAGGTATAGCTAAACCTGAAACTTTCCAAACCAAACAACGCCGGGGGATCCGACTGTCCGAACAGGGGTAGCTCTCCAATTGGGGTCCCTTTTCCGGTCCCCAAAACAGTGTGCGTGTAGAAAGGCCGTAAAGGACCGTAGTTTAGAGAACTACCCACATGTTTGAGACAGCGCGTCCGAAGAAAAGGGCCGCATCTGACATCTAACTTCTGCACCTTCCACAAGTGACAACGCAACAAGCGTCTACTTCCCAAACCCTAAACCCTAAACCCTACACCCAAAATCTGCAAAATCCGGGCCCGAAACCCCGAATCCGACACAAAACTCCGGACCCAAACCCTATACATTTTCTACTAAACCCCCTAATACCCTGGCAATCTGGCACCCTCCTGCTTCTCAACTTTCACCTTCCTCCCTTCCACCTGCTCGGCGCACTCTGCGGCGCTGAACTGTGGGATGAGCTTTCGGGAGGAGGTTTGGGAGTTAGGGTGTAGAGCTTTGTGGGTTCAGGTTTGGGTGGGTTTGGGGGTCTAAGTTCCGGGTTTAGGGCTTTAGGGTCTAGAGAGCTTTGGGATCTCCGACTTTGGTGGGAACGCAAGGCCCCGATGCGAAAAAGACAGCTTCCAAACCCAACGCCCAAAAAATCCGAAACCCCCAAACCACTTAACAACATAGACTTTAGACCCTAAACCCTAAACCCTAAACCCTAAACCCTTTAGACCCAGGACCCCAATCCTCCCTGACACCTAAAACCCTAGACCCTCGACTCCATGACCTCAACCCTCTAGAGCCTGAAATTTTAACTGGGTTGTGCTTTGGGATAATTTCTAATTTCCCTTATTTCCTTATAAAGGGAACCTATTCATAAATAATTTTCAAAGGGCTTAAAGCACAACCCAGTTAAGTATATACCCAGAAAAGCCTACTCCCTGAACCCTAAAGCTTACAGAGCCTGAAACCCTGAACCCTAAACCCTGAACCCCTGGACCCTAAACCCTAGACACTGAACCCTAAACTCTAAATCCCCAGACCCTAAACCCTAAACCTCTGGAAACCCCTGCGCCCTACACCCCGAGACCCCTTTAAAAGGGACGGCGCCTCAGGCTCCTCGAACTTGAGATCCGGATCCAGGCAGTAGTTGCCTTGTCTCGCTTTGCAGCTTAAGGCTTCGTAGAGGGGTTTAGGGTTTAGGGGTTTAGGGGTTTAGGGTTTAGGGTCTAGGGTTTAGTGATTTAGGGTTTAGGGTCTAGGTATAAGGTTTATGGTTTAGGGGTTTAGGGTTTACGGGTTTAGGGGTTTAGGGGTTTAGGGTCTAGGGTATAGGGATTTAAGGTTTAGGGGTTGAGGGTTCTATATAAGGGTTCTACGAGGGTCAGAGTTTACGGGCTTAGGGTTTAGGGAATTTAGGGGTGCAGGTGGGGGTTTAGGGTTGGGGGTTTAGGAGTAGGAGCCTTGGCGACGTTTTTGCTTGGGGCATTGTGGCCCGGAACCCCCCCAGGCTCAAAAAACCCACCGAGTTGTCGAGATTTTGGCCAGATACGTAGCTTATCTGGGTTACCAGCAATTTTAAATCTAGGTACCTTTTCCAAAGCCCCACCTACTACATCGGCGGATCCTTCAAGTAGTCCTGCAGGTCTACTTAAAACGTTCCAAGCGAACCCAAGCCTCCCCAAACCCTGAAACACTCCCTCACTGTAAGAACCAAGGAGTTACTGAAGACCCCCTCAACCCTAAACCCTCGACCCTAAAAAACCCTAAACCCTCAACCCTAAACCCTAAACCCATAAACCCTAAACCCCTAAACCCTAACCCCTAAACCCTAAACCCCTAAACCCTAAACCCATAAACCCTAAACCCCTAAACCCTAAACCCTAAACCCCTAAACCCCTAAACCCCTAAACCCCTAAACCCCTAAACCCCTAAACCCCTAAACCCTGAACCCTAAACCCCTAAACCCTAAACCCTAAACCCCTAAATCCTAAACCCCTAAACCCCTAAACCCTAAACCCCTAAACCCTGTACCCTAAACCTCTTTATCATATAGTAATTTAAACCTTAATGGAATTCGTGGTCCAGGCCCAAAAACGTGCCTCGCCCACGAATTCTCCAAACATCTGGTCACGAGATGTTTTGACAATTCGTGGTCCAGGCCCAAAAACGTGCCTCGCCCACGAATTCTCCAAACATCTGGTGACCAGATGTTTGGACAATTCGCGGTCCAGGCCCAAAAACGTGCCTCGCCCACGAATTCTCCAAACATCTGGTCACCAGATGTTTGGACAATTCGTTTCGTGCCTGGACCACGAATTGTCCAAACATCTGGTCACCAGATGTTTGGACAATTCGTGGTCCAGGCCCAAAAACGTGCCTCGCCCACGAATTCTCCAAACATCTGGTGACCAGATGTTTGGACAATTCGTGGTCCAGGCCCAAAAACGTGCCTCGCCCACGAATTCTCCAAACATCTGGTGACCAGATGTTTGGACAATTCGCGGCCCAGGCCCAAAATCCATTCAGAGTTTAAAGGTTTAGGGTTTAAGGGTTCAGGGGTTAAGGGGCCCAAAAACGTGCCTCGCCCACGAATTCTCCAAACATCTGGTGACCAGATGTTTGGACAATTCGCGGTCCAGGCCCAAAAACGTGCCTCGCCCACGAATTCTCCAAACATCTGGTGACCAGATGTTTGGACAATTCGCGGCCCAGGCCCAAAATCCATTCAGAGTTTAAAGGTTTAGGGTTTAAGGGTTCAGGGGTTAAGGGGCCCAAAAACGTGCCTCGCCCACGAATTCTCCAAACATCTGGTGACCAGATGTTTGGACAATTCGCGGCCCAGGCCCAAAATGAATTTGGTGACCAGATGTTTGGACAATTCGTGGTCCAGGCCCAAAAACGTGCCTCGCCCACGAATTCTCCGAACATCTGGTCACCAGATGTTTGGACAATTCGTGGTCCAGGCCCAAAAACGTGCCTCGCCCACGAATTCTCCAAACATCTGGTGACCAGATGTTTGGACAATTCGCGGTCCAGGCCCAAAAACATGCCTGGACCACGAATTGTCCAAACATCTGGTGACCAGATGTTTGGACAATTCGCGGTCCAGGCCCACAATCCATTCAGAGTTTGAAGGTTTAGGGTTTAAGGGTTCAAGGGTTAAGGTTTCAAGCTGTGAAAGACATGAAACTTTGTATTTCCCTGATGTTATGGGATTCTGAGGGTGGGTGGGTGTTATTTCTAAACCGTAAACACAACTCTACTTTGAAACTGCTCGATCCGGAGCTGCTGAACCCCTAAACCCTAAACCCTAAACCCTAAACCCCTAAACCCTAAACCCCTAAACCTCTAAACCCCTGAACCCTAAACCCTAAACCCTGAACCCTAAACCCAGCCCTTGCAATCTGGCCCACAGGTCCCAGACGCCTGTTGCCGGAACCGCCCCACAAGCGGGCGGGCCAAGGTGGGCTGCTAGTGGGGTCTTTTTCGGGGTTGTTTGTTTTTCGGGCTTGGGGTTCAGTTCAGGGTCACTGGCAGCCTGCCCCATGGAACCTCCGTGTGCGTGGGACCAGTTGGTGACAGGACTCAAGAGTTGGGTCCCTGCCACCAGGTGGTCCAGCCGGACTGCGTTATTCTTTACACCATTTCGAGTCGAAGATGGCGCAATTTCTGCTCATCTGGTGGATGCGTCTTTTTCAATTCAGCTGGGGTGCAACAAAGAACGGAGACAGCCTAAAGTGATGGACACGAGACTCCAGCTGCTTGGAATCAATGACGTGCAGTTCAGGTCGGAGGTCGTTTATGCCATAGTCGGATGCCAGCCCCCAGTGTTACATGGTGATACTTGGATTGTACAGATGCCAAGGGTCGGCAGCACTAGTGGCTTAGTCAAGCTAGTTGACCTTCAAGGACATGCAAGGAGCTTGAGCAAGGACTTCATCGATAGTCACAGCGATCAGCCTGTCACCAAGAGTCTGGCGAGTATTTCCGGCTTTTATGACATCACCGGTCGCTTCCATGCGCTGCCGCGTCCTGTTGCAGCCATGTCCATTCGGGCGTGGTTGGAACAGCACGGGCAAGCGCTCAGCCATCATATGTGGATGACGGTCAATGGCTCAAGAGGTTCCTTTGATGAAGTTATCCAAGCAGGTGAGTCTGTCATCGTGAGATTGCGAGCACGCCTGTTAGGAGGAGGAGGCGGCAAGTCACTTGAGTTTCAGAAGCTGTGCAAACATCTGGTTCAAAAAGGCGTGCCCGAATCAGCAGCGACTCAACGTGCAAGCCAGATTCAAGAAACCATCGGAGAAGCAGCCATCCAAGCAGCGTATGCCAGCTTGGATCCGTGGAAGCATCTGAAAGAGTCAGCGGGAAAGAAAATCAGACTTGTGTTGCCGGAGGAAATGCGTGCAAAAGGTAGTGCCACAAAGAAGACCAGTGAGTCAAAAGATCCTTGGGCGGAGACTGATCCTTGGTCGGAGGCCATCGCACAGAAACAAGCCATCGTTGAAGATATTCAACTGGTGCCGGAGTTTTTCGTGGATGGCAACCATCAACCGCTTCCGTTGCTGAAGTCGCTTACATCTGGATCCAAAGGAGTTGTGCTTGCGTCTGTCAAGGATGTGGAGGTGTTTGCGCAGCTCAATGGAGCATCTTCTGATGATGAGCTGGCGGCAATTACGTTGGGGCTCAACCCTCCCAAGACGGGCCGGATTGAACCGATTGCGATCACGTTTCCAGTGGTCCATGGGTCGGACAAGTTACTGGTCAAGGGTTTTTTGATCAATTTGGGCCTCCAGCCGGCGATGACGAACAATGCCTTGCCCCAGTTCATGGCCGAATCGCATGACATGTCAGTTTTGACAGTTGAGGCCCGAAAGGAGTACATCAATGAACAGGATTGGCGGCAAGTGATCGACAATCCAATCCGCTATGTTCGCAGTGCCATCAGAGGGTTTCAGAGTGCTGTAGTTGGTTCGTGGAGCCGTAAGTTCTTCAATGATAGGAAGCCTGCGAGTGCGGAAGATGCTACATCTTTCCATTGCTTCGTGCGTGTTGATTCGGAAGCAGTTGAACCACTCTTGGCTCAGTCTGGCCAAGGCGGGATCTTCATGGTCCCAAAAGATGAAGGCGGAATAGCATCAGGGAAATTCCGAGTCTTGTGGCTAGACACAGTATGTTTGGATCGAGCTTCAGCAATGCAGAGAGCGAATGCTGAGTCGTGCGGCCTGACGCGCGGCAAAACGTCCTTAGGCCTTCGAGTCAGGCCCGCAGACTATCAGAAAGTGCGGAGACGTCTTGAGCCGAGCTGGGACCCTGAGAACATCATGGTAGACGTCATGATTGAGCGGCGTTGGACGCTCGCACCTCTCCCGCACGAAACCAGTAAGAAGTCTGTGCAGCTTCTGCTCAATTCCATGCATTGGCGTGCTACTCCCATCAAGCAAACAGGATCGTGCGCGTGGCTTGTGGGATCCGAAGCTTCTGCCGAGCCTCCGACAGACACAGTGCAATTCGGAAATCATCTTGTGCTCATTTCGGAAATCAAGAACCGCAAGCCTGCTCAGCATGAAGATGCAGTTGTTGCAGGGCCTAAATCATTGCGCAAGGCTTTGGGTAGGCAACTTGCAGCTGGAGATTGCGTATCCTCGTGTAGCACTGTTTCCTCGGTGCCTTCGGGCTCAGCTCCCTCAACTGTTGGGCCAACCCGCCTTCTTGTTGGAGAGCTCAAGACGGAAGTAGACGACAAGATCGAGGCTATGAGAAGTGATTTCAGACAGGCAATGTCTGACCTCACGAACCAACTCCAGGCATCGGAGAGCATCGCATCGAACCGTGTTGCTGAAATCGAGCTAAAGCAACAGAGCCAGGAAGAACGGCTTGGGAGTGTTGAGCAATCCGTGCGATCGTTGGCAGACAAGGTAGTTACTAAAGTTGACTTGTCTACTGCTCTGCAAGCGGCCATGGAGCAGCAAACACGTGATTTAAGAGCATTCCTAGTGAAACGTTCACCGGATAGCACTCCTCTAGGTGAAGCCAAGGCGCAGAAGACAGGATGAATCCCTGTCGACTGCACGCTCGTGTTTCCGAGACCCCTTCTTCAAACATACAGTGCGATTGATGACAGCCTTACAGCTGGAAGGTGCGCATGTGTTGTCTTGGGAAAGGGTTCTCCTCCTTGCCACGGTGTGGATGCCTGTTTTTGCAACGGTACTCCGACGTTGTCGGTGTCCACATCCAATCCCTGTGCTGGAGTAGTGTTTTGCACGCTGCTCGAGCCTGCAAGTTCGGTTAAGTTGCATGATAGTTGTGTGGATTTTTCTAGGGTTTCCCCTAGTGGTAGGTGGTTTAGGTTTGTTGTGGGACCAGCCTTCCCATTGCGTTATTGCTTGTGTATCCAACAGTTCGGGCAACATAATTATTTGCATGGTTGTAGGGTCGGCGAGGCTAAAAACCCCGGCCCACCGTGGAAGCTCACTCTCTGCAACATTGTGTCTGCGGAGAAACATGCGCCGGAACTCGACCGCACAGATGACTGCACAGTATGGTCCGAGACCAGCGCTACTGCACTGACTATAGAGAAGCTTCATAAGCGTGCTAGGTCCCTTAAGGGGTATTTGGCAACTTCTGCGCCCGGTCTTTACAGAACGTCGGGGGTGGGTAGAGGTCAGGCTTCAGGGTCTCTGGTCTTCTCTTCTTCTTATGCTCATTCCCTTCATGAAGTGTGGGACGCTGCTACTTGGAAGTCTGCGCGTGTTGCGGATGCGTTGATTCACCTTGAGTCTAGCCAAGTCAGAGTGGTTGCGGTGTATGGATATCATTCCTCCATTAAAAACCACATGGACCTCAACGAGACTCTTTTTCAGGAAGTGTTTCGTATGCTTTCGCAGCTACATGTTCCGACAATCTTACTCGGAGATTTCAACTGTACGTTGCAGGATCTGGGGTGTTGGGGTGAAGCTGCTGAGACGGGGTTTGTTGATGTGGCTGAGTGGTTTGCAGGTTTTTCTGGTGCGTTGCCCGAGCCAACATACCGGGGGAAAAGCAGGTTGGATTATGTGGTTTGCAATAGGCTTGCGGTGCAGGCGATTAGTGGTTTTCGGGTGGATCCGCGTGGTTACACGGATCACGCCAGTCTCCATTGCGAGTTTGCTTGGGACAGGCTCAATAGCAAAGTCCCGCAGTGGTCCATGCCTATGGACATCGCTTCCCTGAACCAAATTAGTTCGCAGCTCCGAAATACACAGTCTCAGGCACTTGATGTGCAGCGCTGTTTCAGTTTGTTGGCCCAGGGTTTGATGCCTGAGGCTTACGAGTGTTTTGTTAGGCAG